TGAAAGGATTATGTATCTGCTGATGAAACAAGCTTTAAATGAACAACATATCATCTGCACACTAGAAGAATATTTAGAAGACAATGTATCTGCTGATGAAACAACCCATAATTGAACAACATATTATCGTTTGCATACTAGAAGAATATTGAAAGGATTATATATCTGCTGATGATACAAGCTTTAAATGAACAACATATCATCATCTGCATACTAGAAGAATATTTAGAAGACTATGTATCTGCTGATGAACCAATCCAAAATTGAACAACATATCATCGTTTGCATACTAGGAGAATATTGAAAGGATTGAAACACACGCTGATACAGAACAATAATTTAACATGTCGTCTTTAGTATACTAGTAGAATAACAAGAGGATTGTTGTAACAATGCCACACTGCCGACCGACAGGTTCAAGCCAACTATAAACTAAAAGCCAAAAAAATCACTTTTATAGTCTAACAATAGCCTCATCAAGCAATAACTATTGCTGTTTGACAAAATACCAATTTGAGAGGAAAACTGTTATTCTTAATACATTCGTATTCTTCTCCAATTTCGTCTACATAAAATACCTTCGGCCCAGTAGTGGAGACCTTAAGAGTCGCTGTACCCAATACATCATCCTAAAGAGGCGCTCAGCCGTATTGTCGTCATTCAGCTATGTCCAAACCCGATATTCCCTGAGATTACGCTTAAATACCGGAATGGTAGGTTTGGTATACTTTATTGAAGGTCCGCTTTCGACCCAGTTAGTTTGTAGTTGTAAACATACATGCATACAAATCCAAATGCATCACGTCGACTTCTTCCTGTTGATTGCTGCATCACTGCTCACCCCCCCCGCAAGCCACCCCATCGCAATGCCAGCCAGGTAACCACAGCCTATCTTCTCAAAGTATGTGTACAGGGTATATCCTCCTAGCCCAAAGTGTACAAACACCAACAGATCCAATGCCCAATTGATGGCCACAATCTCACTCGCGACAAGCATTCCGTTGAGTGAGCTTGTGCGTGAAGGAAGAACAGATCTCAATGCTACAGCAGTACACCATGAACTGAATATGGCCATAACACACTTGAACCAGTACTCAGAGGTTCGAAGTTGTCCGTTACGATCGAAGAAAGGGACGCTGATGACAAAGGGTATCACCCACACGTACACACTGTACGCGAAGAGCTTCTTCTGTTGCACACCCCTTAATATAGCCATTGTGATTATGTGATATGCCTCAGATGTTTACTGACGTCTGCTTCAGTGACTGTATTTATAGTACTTGGTTGATGGGTGAACTCGGTCTTTGGAGTTGGTATAACATTCGATGGCCGTGCCCCGTCGCTGCATTGAGTGTGTACATATGCCAACACATGCCCAACTCAGCAGATAGTGGGGGTTGATAAATGACCCTCCGATCACAAATGCGTAGAGCCATCCAATTGGCGCAAAAATCAAAAGTTTCGTGTTCCGCCGCTTCCGGCAGTCGGCAATCGGTAAAAAATTGGTCAAAGACACAACATCGTCCCCGGATTTTCCACAAATAAAGTATTTGGAATAGGCGTCAGACTTGAGATTTGACACTATTTATGTTGCATATCGAGCATACACCGGCCCAAGGATGTTGTTTGAGATATATATGTAGTAGCACAATATAAATAATATCACATAAAGGATTAGGCGCACACAGAAAGTATGGTACATAAATACATACCCAGATTTTTGAACTCGATATTTTCAGTTTTGCCAGCAAAACTTGCTCCTTATGTGATACTCTTCGAGAATGATATACTTTAAAAAAGTTTCAGGCATACTATAATAAGTTAATAACAGAATCACTTTTGCGTCTATAGACCCTACAACAGATAGAGCATTACCTTTGACGACACAGCTGTAAAACCCTAAGGCGACCCTGGTATTCCGCAGATGAATGTTTGCTACTGCGATTATTCGAAATCAACACGGTTATAAAACATCAGTTGAATCCTTCATAGTTCAATGACCGTGTCAGACTGGCCAGCTTAATAAATGCAAGGAAAATAGGATCATATTCATGCATTTCAATAGATATTTCATGCACAATGCAGGTAAAGAGACAGCCTAATCTTTAAAGGCTCGTATATAGCGAATTCTGAGCGGAGTCTCAGGTGCACGATAGTAGATTGAAAAGCTTCAACTACATTTATAGGCGCTAAAAAAGTATATTTGTATCAAGGATGTTGCACGCCATAAATAGCTCATACGATAATAAATAGTACTCAGGATAACAACGTGTTCAGAAGGTCAAAGCAACCCCACAATGACAAGAAGGAGGTATGCATTTATTGTGGTAAATAGTATAAAATAGGAACAATACTAAAAATAGAGCATTGATACATAAATAGCTGCCTACCTATGTAATAGAAGAGTTTAAGTCAGAATATTACCATGTGCCGGCCCTCTAGGATCAAGATGAACATCGATGTCGATTCCTGACCATGGACGGTCCCCAAGAGAGGGACCTACGATTCCTTCTGATGCCTCTGCTCTACTTTTATCTTATTGCGTAGCATTTTATATTTACCTATCACCCATGATTAGTCCTGAGTAGCAGGGGTATTTGCATCCACGACTCTCGCAGACTTATCTCCCCGCTGAAGGAATCGAACCAGTTACTGGGGTACTAGAAAATAATTAAATTACTAAATAGTAATCTACTGTACACTGGAGTATGATTGAGATAGTTCTGGGTATATTTATATGAACAGTCATAGGGATGATATTATTTATTTCAAAAATGGCAAGTATGTATGATACAATGTATGAACATATGGGAAGGCTCTCGTAGACGCTGTAGAGGTTCAGGAAAGATTGATGGGAAGAAGTGGTCAGTAAATTCCCGTATGAAGCTTGGGCCAAGTGAGTCGGGTATGAGATAGTAGATTAGTTATATCAATCAGGTGTAGAGAGAGATCTATGTGCAGGGAGGGAGTAGAAAGTGTATAATATAAATTAATATGGGTAGACTATCTTAAGGAAGGTAGAGGAAAGGATCTCTAAGTAGGTATATCATACAGTAATTTATTGAGAGTAAGAAGAATAAATGGAATCTAAAAATACGATAAGATTTTAATTGGATTAGTACTACTCTTTATGAGCATAGTTTTTTTTATAAGACAGTATCGTAGAGAGCGAGCGAGCGAGCGGGCTCCCGAGGGAACCGGGGGACATACTCTATTCTATCCTACGGTCCACATAGGGTATGGGGACCTATGATCCGAAGGGTGTACGGTCCCCCCGGAATCTACGATCCGAAAGCAGGGATGTAAGATAAGATCCATCCTTTCTGATGGATCTACCATTCTCCCGCGGTATTTAGCGGGATGTACGATATATTCTTCCGGATTCGAACCATCAGATTTTCCCCTAGTATCTTTTTCGTGATTACTTTTTCCTGATTTATCTATATGATTTAAGTGCAATGAGAGCGTTAAAATGCCTTTTAAAACCAGGGACCCTAATAGGTGCACTAAGTGTTCAATTCCAATGATGATTTTAAAAAGTCATATTAAAAACTATCTATTACGGGCTACGCAAAGTGATGTTCAAAGGAGAGAATCGAACCCCCTTAGATGGATCATGAGCCCAGCGACCTAACCTTAGTCTACTTTGCACTATCTAGATCTGTCATCCCTGAAAAAAAATAGGATCGAAAATTATCCATCTAGGTGGAGAGTTGGACTCGAGCCAGTATTACAAATTTTGAAACTTACCCCTTATCGGCAAGTTGCTCACTCAAGCTGATTATGGGTCAAAAAGCGAGGAAGGAAAAACGGGTCGAAACATTAAGTAGCATAACATATAGTTAATGTTTCTCAGGTGGAGAAGTTAAGTGTTCTCGGTTACCCTGTGAGCTTTGGGCTTAGGTCCAGTAGGTCCGTTGTGGTCGACTGGACGTTT